ATTATCAAAGACATTCAACTTGCGTTTCTTTTCTTATTTTATGATTTATGACATTGAGCCATGGTTGTTCTGTTTCCATAGCAGTGCAGGACTTTTATATTGCAGTGAAAATCACCACAGAGAGTAAAATGTGACAGGAGCAAAAAAACGGCTTTGGAGTTCAGAGGGTTAAATGTTTCAACAACGATTCTTAGTTTCAGACGATTATACACTAATGAAAACAATCATGAATATAATTTTTCATTCCTGTCAATAAATCTTCGTAAATGCACTGGTCCTTTAATCAAAAAACAATTTATAGACCAAAATATGACAAATAAACCTGAAAAAAAACAGCCTGTTTCCAAGTGTACACGGCAGATAAAAGTTTAAAAACAAGAGGTTTATCCAGAAAAAAATAATATAACTGCAAGTTCACACCAGAGGAATATACTGTAATTAAAATAGTTAAGATACATTTTGTTCTTCTATGATGTAATTTGTTTATTTTAAGACTTTTACAGGCGTTTTATGTGCTGCCACATGCTGCTGCTGTGATACTGTAAACGCTTTGAAGAAAGCTTGATTTGCATCCACCAAAAAGGATTATGTGTGTTCGGGCACATGCACCTCCCTTTCCCCATCATGCCCCCAGTGTGTGTGTGTGTGTGTGTGTGTGTGTGTGTGTGTGTGTGTGTGTGTTTGGGATGGCAAGTGGGAGCTGTATGTTCTTGGCTATTCCCCTGTCTGCCTGTCCGCCACAGAACTGAATGCCACATCATTTCCCATTCCCCGTTCAGCTGCTACAAATAGAACGGGCGTCTCCGGGGGGCTCGGCTCACCAAGAGGAGAGACAGAGTCAGAGGAGAGGAGAGGAGAGGTGGGGAAGGGGAAAGGAGGAGGTAAGAGAGGGGGAGAGGGAGGGAGGGAAAGAAAAAAGGGGGAGAGACTTGACCCTGGAGAAAATGGAGATGGAGAGGGCTGAGGAGAAGGAGGGATGGTGAAATTACAAAGGGAAAATGATAACAGCAGTAAATGTAACAATGAAGCCCTCGGGGAGGAGAGAGGGACAGAAAGGGTGGGAAGGGAGGGAGAGAGGGAATGAGGAACAAACAAAAAGGAGATGGGAGGACGAAATGGGAGGAGGGTTGATTTTTGAGGACAAGACAATTCATTTTTTGAGAGTACAGATGAGAGCCGGGGGAGTAAAAGCAACAGACGGATCGATAGACCGATGGAGAAAGATGAGAGGGGCAGAGGAGCGAGGCGGCAGCATTTATGGAGGCTTTTTAGGTCCTCAGTGGTGACTGATCTCAAATCAGTGACAACAAAGACTGGGGAACGTGGGTCAAAGAAATGACACTTCTTTGTTTGAATCGGTTTCAAATCGCACCTGTTTACGAACTTGAGTACATCTTTTGGGATTGATTCCTAAATGTGTAAATAAAGCACCAGAAAAATTGACTGATAAGCTGAAAAAGCTCACCACATTTTCGTCATTTGAAGCAATACAAATAGAAAAGGAGAAAATATGGTTCCCATTGCATTTAGTAACGGTTTCTAAGGCCGTGACCAAATCCAACAGCCTGACATCTGTCAAGGTCAAGCCAATGACAAAGATATTTGGTAGCAATAGCACATCTTTTGCTCCCAGTAAGTTGAAGCCGTGAAACAGATTTATTTTTGTTTACTAGATTGAGCGCGAAATCTGAGTTGTAGGAAAACAAAGAGGGAGAGGAAAGGAAAAGAAGAGGGTTTGGTGGAGGAGGAGCAAACGAGAAAAGGAGGAAGATGAATGAAGATGGGAGGAGATGAGGAGGAGGCGGTTGAGCCAGACAGGAGGATGTCGAGGGGGGGGGTGAACAAATCAAGACAGGAGGAAAGTAGGTTGGCTGTCTAAGGCTTTAAACACCTTTCAACAGTGTGTGTGCGTGTGTGTGTCAAATGTCCACTGTAAGATTTCTGTGTGTAAGAACTGTGTGAGGAGCTGACTTGATCTCTGGTTGGTTGGTGGTAGACGACTGAAGTGTCTGCAGGCTCCTGTCATCAATATCAAAAACTCCCATGAAATATGTAACATTGCTTCATCCATTTGTTAAAGTGATGGCCCTTTTGTCATTCTGGTCACATGGATTAATTCATGTTTTATGGCAGGACATTTAACGGAGGAGCCACATGGAGCAGCGGGTTAGCTTCTGATCTCTCACACACTCAATCAGTGACGGGTTTTAGAAGTTGTCGAAAGCTTTGATCAATGACTAACATGAGCGTGAGAAACGGCAGCCGCCTTTTCTCACGAGGCTCGTGTCCGTTCATTTGTCGAGCGAATTTTAAGAGAACTTTTTGAAAATAATTTTCATGAACTGGCTGGGACCGAATGAACTCAGCTACGCAAACTGTAGTTTGGTCAGAAGTTGGTGGTGTAGGCTACGCCTTTAATGGCTGTAGAAGAAGAAGTAGAGGTAGCGGTCTGCAAGCAAAACACGTCAGCTTGGCCATCAAAACATCTACGAGAGTAAAATCTTCAGTCTTCGGGAACAATTAAGGAGGTTTTAATGAATGTGAGAGCCCCCAGGCCCCTTGGTGTTTAAAGAGGGAGATGACCAATAAAGGGCCCCTATGGGCCTCAGTGCATATATCAAGTGCAACACCTGGAGCCGGGCGCATTTCCTCTGTGTCTACAACCCACAGGAAGACGGAACGCCGCCTTGTTCACCACGCTTTGTGGGTGTGACGTTTTTGCCGTGTCATGTCCATTCATATATCTATACAACCAGTGTGTTTATGATTACATTGATGCAAGAGCACAAACGTCTACATAGATAGAGTGTCTGAATTTTACTCTCAAAGAAAAAAAGATGCATTAAGCTGGAACCAAGATGACAGAAAGAGACCCTTTATCTAAAGTGAGAATTAGGTATTTAAGAATTAAACTAGAATTAGGGTTATCCATGTTGTAAAAAAAAAACATTCATGCCAACAAACTGTGATTAGGACTGTGAAACTCAGGCTACATCCACACCACTATGTTTCCATTTTAAAACGCATGTATGCCCTACGGAGCAGATGTTTGATGTCTAGCCATGACCATTTTGTTAAATTAAAAAAAAGTTATTGAACAGGGAAAATAAAGCTCTCCAAACACACAAGCTTGCTAAGGGTCAGTTAGCAAAGTGATTAGCTTGTTAGCTTGTGAGCTAACGGTTTGGCATTATAACAAAAAGAGAATCATCGCGATGAATTGAAAAGGAAGAGATTAACTAATAGAGGCCGCTGCTTTGGTCTGTTTTGGGTGCTGGAACGAGCCAAGGGAGCTGGCATAAGCAGGGATATATATCATTCTAAGGCGCACACACACTGCTGACACAAACCTGTCACGCCAAACCTCTAATTAGGGAGTTCTGGTCTGGAGTCTGGATGTATATGTACTGTATTGAGAAGGACAGAAAAAAAGAGTGGAACTGCCAAAAGTTGTGGTCACAAAGTGTGTGTGTGTGTGTGTGTCTGTGTCTGTGTGTGTGTGTGTGTGTGTGTGTGTGTGTGTGTGTGTGTGTGAACAGGTCCTAAGAGAGGCGGTGTGGAGATGCAACAACAGAGAAATCAGAGTGTGACATGAAATATTCAGCTGGGCTTCAGAGGAGACTGTCCAGAAATAGGTCAGCTCAACGCGGTAGCCAAACACACACACCAATTCACACACTGACATGCAGACTCCCCTTCTGTCACACACACACACACACTTAGCATACAGCTACACACACACACACAATCATGAGCCCATCCCACCCACAGAGACAGCAGAGACTTAAAGACAGAGTGATGGATGGATGGGTGGATGGATGGACAGACAGACGGACGGGTGGGTGGATAGATAGAGTCTGTCACAGTGTCTGACAGTTTAAAGACCTTTTTAATGCCCCTATGTGTAATTAGCACCAGTCAGGTCACAGTGGTAGTAAAGAAACCCACTTTCACCTCAATTAAAGTAACGACAGTAATGCCACTCTGGGTTCCCTGGAAACCAATCCAACATCCCAGATCAACCCCTCCTCTCCTGCCCAAAACTGCAAGACCTCTCCTCTCCTCTCAACAACGAGGCTGTTTCTCTAGACAACAAAAGAAGAGGGGAGCATCACAACAACAGAAAATGGAGTGAGACAGGATGAGCTCTGTATCGAGCCGGCACCTTTATTTATTTACCTCCCTTCATCAACTAACTTTTTCATACTTTTCAGATTAAATATGATATTCCAAACATTTCCCACCCCAAGTTGAGATGTTAAAATGACTTGACCCACCAACTAAAACTCAAATATAATCAAAATATTTAAGCTGGAAGCACTGCACATATACAGTAATACAAAAATGCCTTGAATGGATCATCCAAAATTGTTTCTGTCACAATCGTTTCAGCTCTTAACGCATTCATAAATGAAGAAGGGGTAGCTCACCTCTGTTTCTCCTCACCAACCTCCATGAAAGAGTGGCAGTCGGCCACGTGCGTGCCCATTAACATCAGGGTCAGTATTTACCACACGTCACATCTGCAGCTTTTTGAGGATCAGAGGAGGGCTGAGTGGGAATGTGACAAGATACCATTGGCAATAGAAGCCTGTGTTGCAGTTCATTTTTGTATTATTATTTATGATCTATTTATCCTTCGCATTTTTCAAGGCAGAAATACCTTAATGCACTCCAGCCTGGCAGAATTCCTTTATTTCACCTTCACAATAATGAGAGTGGACACCCCAGTGGAGTCACGGGTTGACTGTCAGAATGAGGCTTTGTTATGGTTGGACAGAGACAGTGGGGAGTCTTGAGGAGTCAACAGATTATTGTCTTTGGGCTGGTTTCCTCTAAAGCCCTTCTTCCCTCCATCATCATCATCATCCAACTCTTTGTTCTCGAGGCTCATCAAAAGCCAGAGGACACATGCTAACTACCCTCTGTCCTGTCCAGTGCGTGCAGGACAGGACAGATTTTTTTTTATTCTAAACCAATGTATAGAGACTTTTTTTTACCTGAACCCAGGGTGCTGCTGCACTGCCAGTTCTCGGTGCTCGCCGGCTTCCAGCAGGACTCCCACAGGGACAGGTAGTACTGGTCGTCGGCGGTCACCCACGCCGGGCTCATCACGGCTCCCACGTCCAGGCAGAGCGCCAGGAAGACGCACACCAGCCCGACCAGCTTCAGGGGCGTCAGCGGGGAGCCGCGCGCCGACTCGTCCGTCTCGGTGACAGCGGTTGACATGGCGCGGCTGGTGAGGGGGGTGGATCGGTCGAAATCCCGGGGACGATGTCTAATGAGTGTGTGGATGTATTCCTTCCAGACGGTGCGTGGATGTTTTCGAAAGTCGTGCAGGGGGAAAGTCCGAGGAGAGTGTCGGAGCTGCTGCTGCTGCTGGTGCCACCGCAGCCGCCTGCGTTGCCCGGTGGACAGACGCTGCGCCTGTGGGCACCGCTGCTGCCGGCGCACCGTTTACAGCGCTGACGTCAAGGCTCCCAGGGATCAGCAGGTGCTACAGGGTCCTAGAGAGAGAGAGAGAGAGGGAGAGGGAGAGTGAGAGAGAGAAGCATCGTGCTCATCAGGGCCGTAGCCAGGATGTTAGGAATACAGAGGTCTGGAGCCCAAAAATTGAACAGCAAGCAACCAAACTCTGTAAAAAAAATTGGCTTATTCATGTCAATTCAGTCAGCTATATTTTAAATCTCCTCTCCCTACTTTAAAGCCTAGTCTACATGTTTCAAAACCTATACTGTACAGGTTTGTACTGGTGGAAAATCACTTTTTCCCCAACTTATTTAGTATCTGTTGTTGTGATGTGAAGTCACATTTTAAGATATTAACTCTAAAAATATATCAAAAGCTGACTTCTGAGTTTGTCAACCCCAGGTGGCAACCTCCGATACTGCCAAGTGGAGCCAATGCGGAAGTGTCTTTGAATTTGCATTCTCTCCACTGACTAGCAGGGGGCGACTCCTCTGGTTGGATAGAAGTCTATGAGAAAACTTGATTTATTACCTCGGTAAACATTGTAAACATGAGTTTATGCTCTCAATCTCTAGTTTCAAGTCTTCTTCAACACAGCATGAAGTTCATTTTGTAAATGATGGTCCATGTAGAGTCAAATAGACCATAAAGAGGAGTATGCTTTAGGGCGGGCTTACTGTGATTGACAAGTCGCAGTGGCTACCAGAGCTATATCCGGCGTCTCTATGTCACTCCTCCACATTCTAAATATGGTAACTGTTCATCGGTTGGGAAAAAATAACATGGCAACGGGCCTAATTCAAGATAGCGACGGCAAAATCGCCGAACTCATGGCTTTCAAAACGTCAGTCACAAACCATTGGGTGATGTCACGATGTCCACGTCCTCTTCTTATATACAGTCTATACATAGTCTATGGTTAACCCTTAAGATAGCAAATGTAGCAATGGTATGGGTTTTATTTGTTCGATGAAGAATGTATTATTTCTTTAAAAGTCAAATATTGTTGATTTAAATTCCACTTGCATAATCTGTGGTCATCAGCCTCATAGATATGGGTTAGAAGAGGTTTGCTACATAAGTAAAGTTACATTACGTACGTTACAAACATAACCTAGGAACAGCAGTCCCCTGAGTCAAAGTCCTGTGTTTGAACCATACCATACGGTAGGAATTTACAGGTGGGAACATAATACGGAAAGTTCACCACCGTAAAAAAAATAAAGATTTCAGAGAAATAAGGAAATAAAAAGAAAATTAATTAATTTATAGAAATACCTCTGTTTTTGCCAAGGCAGTGCCACGATACAAAGCCAACGGACTGTTTTAGCTGAGGCTTAAACCCCCACATGAGGCCTAAAGGCTGGCGGTAATACTGATAACAGCTGATAACATGAACGGCTAATACATTTTTTTTTTAATTAGAAGGATGACTCCATCATTAAAAAACCCGCTGGTTTGGGAAAATTGATCCTTGGAAATAGTTTTCTCACCCCATTAGCTGTTTATACGTGGGTTCTGGAAAAAGAAAATTCAAGATTTTGGATATGAGATTAAACATTAAGGAGTTGCAGTTGAGCAAGAATCAAAGAACAGAAGAGGAAAAAAAGAGAACAGACACAGTGGAGTAAGTGGGAGGCAGATGAGGGAATATTATTGTTTCTTCTGCATACTAATGACAAAGCATGAGATATGGCAGAAGAGCCGGGGGGGGGACGGGACAGGAGAGGTGAGCAGGCTTAGGGAGGAAGAGAGCGGTCCATATGTTTATGAAACCGGTGTGTGAGAGAGAGAGAGAGAGAGAGAGAGAGAGAGAGAGAGAGAGAGAGAGGGAGGGAGAGAGAGGGAGAGAGGACTGGAGAGACTGATGGAAGGTAGAGATGGCCTTGTTTACTCTCCATCAGGACAACAATGAGCGATGATGAGGGGGGAGACAGAAGGAGGCAGGGAAGGAATCCAGGGGAGCAGAGGAGGAGAGGGGAAGGGCAACGGATAGAGGGGAGAGAGATGGAGGGATGAAGATAGGGGGTCTTAATGAATAGCCTTACTGTTGATCAGTTATTCAGCTAAATGAGAAAGAACCTCGAGACACACTGCCTCGCACACAAAAACATCTTCACATTTGTTTTAATCTAATAAATCGTAGTTAGATGGAAGCAAGTGCTGCAATATTGCTGAATAATGAAGGAATATGCAGATTTAGTTGCTAGACCAGTAGTGATATTTATTGTTTTACAGGGCCGACATGTTTCTTTGTGGTAGAAAACAACAGCAGATTAAAGTTGAATTTAAGTCAAAGCAAGACTCAGTTAAAATGCAAGTGAGGTGATTCTGTTACTTTGTCAGGAAAGTAAACGCTACCAAGTACATTTTTAATATCCTTTATTGATGTTCAGTGGAAGAATAACAACGGTGCTCGACAAACTGCATCTCTGTTCTTTGTGAGCTGACGGATCCAGTTTGGCTCAGCGGGGACGTACATGCTACGTGGTCTTCTGATTAAACACTCCAGGGACGGTCAGAGATGTTTGGTGGAGTTTTCACTCGAATCTTCACCTTAAATGTGTCAAGCCCTCAAGACAGAGAAAACGCTTACATGGATTTTTTGGGAAATCACACAGCAGGCATGACAATTACCTCAAACCAGGAATAAATACTCAATATGCTTTATCGTTACTTCAGACTTTCAATTATTTTAAACTTTCCAATGAGTTTGTTATGAAAAAACAAATTAAAACAGAAAAAGAAATGGTATGAGTTATTATTAAAGCCCCAAAGTAAAGCCAACAATTCCAATGCACATTTGCTGGGAACACTATACAGACGGTCTGGTGCTGCTGAAGAACATCACTCGTGTGTCGATTTCAGGAAAGTCGGTGAAGACACAAGGGTAGAAGAGGCGGAAGGTCAGGTTAATAATGATGGGAAAAGTTTGCACAGATTAATAACGGAAGCCTTTTACAGCTGTGTAAAAATAAATCACAATTAAAAGGGGAACTCCACCCATTTCATACAGGTGTTTCAAGGTGTTGGGGAACACTACTGCATATGTGAACGAGTAGTAATAAACTGTTAGTGTCTCCAGAGGGAGCTGTCTGAAGTCTGACAAATGACCTCAAGTGATGTCACTCGAGGCGGAAGACTACAAGTTTTAAAGTTGAAAATAATCTGGAGGTTTTGAGTTAGAAAGGAGTGAGACCTTTGTTGCAGTCTAGAGGCTCCAGGCTACTTTTAACTGCTATTATCGCACCCAATTCTCTGACCAAACTGTCACTAGAGGTCCAGTGGCATTGTGGGTAGTGTAGGCAACCAGGTTATAACGAGGAAACAGAAAGCATGGAATGAGAGAGTCGATATCTCTGGTTCTGCTGCATCGATTTTGATCTTTTGAAAAAAAAAAAAACTGTCCATTGTTATCGGCGTGAAATATATAATGGGGGAGTACATTTTGATATACATAATTTATATGCATATGAGGAGAAAATAGAGGCCAGCTGCATTTTTAAATATGAAAATCAAAAAGTTTTTTTAGCCCATTAACTATTTCACTATTTTTCCGATACCACTTATCAGTGTTGGGGCTTCACCATGTGCCTGGTTCTACAGAGTAAGAGGCTTGTGTCTGGGCAGAGATAGTGTGTTTATTACCTTGTTTTGTTTTGTTTAACTTTACTGTACTGTTACGTGTTATTGTGTATGCTCACGGACCGCCGAGTTCCGTTAGTGCTGTGAAGAAACTATTGTTGTAGTGAGTAAGGTTTGGAACTGTAACTATCAGTTAAAAGACCAGAACCGCGGCCGGCCGAAATCTGAGTTCGCCAGCCAGGTTTCTGTGTGATAGAGAAACAGTTCCTGTATTTTACAGTGGCGGTGAGGATCTGCCTTGTTTTGAGTGTCCCCCTTTTTTTAGGCTCGGAATTGTATTGTAGTTGTTGTTAGATTTAGATATTATTTGACTTGATCAATATTATTGGAACTCTGTTATACTTTAAAGAGCAGCTTTCTGTAATTTCTCTGTGCATGAGTATTGTGATAACAGCTGATATGTGGCCTCTGCTCGAATTCAAACCTTCACTGTTCACTCTGAATGTGGAATAGTACTTTGACCATTGACATTGTGAGTGAATACTAATTATGAGACTTAATTTATAGTTTGGTTATTGGTCCCTGTTCTCAGGGTGGTGCCCTGTTATTATCAATTGTTAATAATCTTATTGATATTAATAATTCTATTGATGAATAATGATAATGAATAATTTCGTTTTTCATATTTGCTGATAACTAAACACGCTCCTGCCACATCCCAACATCAGTCTCTCCAATTTCAACTGAAGGGTGCAATGTGAAATCAAGGTTCATGGCATGATGGGAAAAAGGCCAATTATTGACTGCCTCCTTTATTGAAACAACATGAGTTTGTTTGGCTGCACTGTAAAATGTATTTCTGACAAAGTAGCGTTGGCTGCCCCAAGAATTATGGGGCCGGTTGTATTAAACCACACTTTATTGTAAAATTCCTCACCTGCCAAACAGATGAAGTGAAGGTGCTCTCCACACGGGAGATCCCTCCAGTGGAAGCTGCCGTCGGTGTCGCCTCCGCCACAGGGACTGGTCATTTGCCAGATGGACTTTGTCTCCCAGTAGCTGTAGTCCACAGAGGCACCGGTCATCCAGGTCCACGTACCCGCCATCAGGTACCTAAAGAGACATTTACTTTAAATAACAAAACTTTTCCATTGCTACTTTAAGTAATAAATACTGTGACTTCATTTATTGGTTTGAAATGTACTTGAGTTAAATAAAAATATTTCTCCTTTAAAATGTGCATGAAATTAGGAATGTGTAGTTGAGGAAGAAGAACACTGTTGGAATTGATTCTAGGCACAAACAAAAGAAAGCCAGATTACTCTTTTCACTGATTAACCTCTGACAGAAAATAGTTGTCCAAAATCTGATGCTTATGGAAGCCGCCACGAAAAAAAAACAAATTATAAGACTTTGAACATGATCAAATAAAA